TCGAAGAATAAGAAGAAGATGATGTGTTGCTGTGTTATTTGTTGCGAAAGAAACAAAGAAAACCTATGAGTTCAATATTCAAAACCAGACGTGAAGAAGGATCTTTCTGTCGGTGGTCAGTGGTCGGTTATCTGCTACTAATTCTACCAATTGCTCATCTTGGTCACCAGTAAATTTAATTTCTGCCATTATTTTACTCAACAACACACGTGCTGCCTGAGCCCGTCGCGAGACACTACTGGTCCGAGAGCGGTCTCCTGTGCTTTGTCTCTGTCGCCTGTCTTTGTCTCGCGCTCGTAATTGTACTTCATACGATTGTACAGAGAGCAGACAGGAAGCGACCAGTCTCGGTCTCGTAACTCTGTCGCCTGCCTCGGTCGCTTGTCTCTGTCGCGTGCAGCCAAATTGTACCTTAAAACAGTGTTGGGCCACTAAGTCGTCTCTCCAAGTTACGGATTTTATTTTATTTAGTGTTCTGTCTGACGACAGGTCCATATGAACAGGATCCTTCCATCCTTTTCTCGGACTGGGACCTGTTCATATACGTTCTTGGCAGATGATCCAGAAGTGGTTTGCCATTGCCTTCTTCTGTGTGTGAATGGAGTAATTGTTGGGATGCCACGGAGGAAAACTCCGTGTTGCCTAGACCACGGCCTATTCATTATTTATTAAACCTTAATATTCGAAAATGTTACGGCATGTATATCAGTCCCCAGATGATAAATTCGTGTACCTGTACCACCTTTCGCTGCATTCAGATTGTTATTACCACAAAACTAAGAAACACTGTGGTCTCAAAACCCAAAGGTTTAGCACCGTTAATATAGCATCCTGCCCTCGATTGTGCTTTGTGTACAAACCGTTTTTTTTAGATTTTAGTCATTGCTAATGCCTCGTTGAAGTCAGTAATCATGACAAGACCGAGCAAAAAGTTAATCAACATGTACCTAAGTGACGCCGAACAGTCGCTAGACTTAGCAGCAGTAAGAGCGAATCTCGTCCGGAAGCCAACTGTCCTTGACTGACATTTTCAGTAGTTCCATTAACTTCTCCAGGCAATGCCAAGACACGACCTTAAAATAGACCATAATCACTTCCTTCCACATCCCTTCCGATTTATATCTCAGCGTTCCTCGCACAAATTGCGTAGCGAGAATGCATTATAAATTAGTATGTGTCCGTCCGTCCGTCCGTCCGTCAATCTGTTCGGTCTATTCAAACTGAGAACCACTGGACGGTTGAGGAAAATCGTGAGGTAGACATTGAGGTGCTGCGATCTGGTGGCCAGAGTTGGAACCATCGAACAATTGTTTAGTACTTTAATTTATTTTCTGGGGGTGATAAATTACAAAACAATGATAAACTAATCGCAGTCATTTCATCGTAACAACAATTTCAGTCCATTAAAAACTTCATCGCAACCCCATTACCTTATAGGCCTACAATCTGTGCAGGGGACACTTCCTTCGAAGGTAAAGCTGACCTGTAAATTTCATTTGTTGCCGAGGTTAAGAATGCGTGGAGCTCTTGTCCGTATTTTCCCCCATACGCCTTTATGATGGTATACCCCTGCAACTTTGCTTTGCCTTGCCTACAATTTAGTCTGTATACACAACGATGTCGGCAGTTGACAGTTTAAAAAAATGGCTGAATAAAAATCCGAATCTTTGTCGAGATACTCTGAGAATCAGTATCCTCTTACGTCAGTTTTGAATTTAATATTTCCCGCTGACATTTTGGAGCGCCCTTTTAGGGTTATTTTTCCGTTTCGTTTCACATCTCTTCAGGGTGTGTTATCTTACGTCTCCACAACTCTCTCGTTTTGTGTGCACTCAGACGAAAGAAAAAACAAGTAGCAACATTGACAGAAACAGTCGCGAAAATTCATCTCTGCCAGTGGACTCCTTAATAAAGCAGTTCGCAATCTTTTGTCTTCCTGTTTGCCACCTAAAAACGTAGAGATTAAAATATAGACATCTAAAATTGTACCTGTTGTCTTTGTATGGGTGTAAGACGAGGCATTATATTAACCATTTGAAGCCAAACTCGTCTAAATAAAATTTAATAAAATTCAAGCGGTTAACGCATAACCCATAAACACAAAGTGCATAGTAACTGATTATATTAAAGCAGACGGTACATATACTTACCGCTGGGCTTCACGGGGTTAAGGGAAGAACACAGGTCGAGGGTGTCTCAGAACAGGGTTCTAAGGGGGGTATTTAAATCTAACAAGAGTGATAAAGCCACAAAAGGTCGGAAAAAATTATACTTTTCACCAAATATTATTAAGATAATTAAATCAGACAAGTTTACATTGCTTCCAGGTGGTTTGTTTCTGTAACGTTGGCAACCCTTTGAAAACGTTGCGTTTCTGTGCTGTCCAGGGTGTTGTTATTGTTTTGTCTGCAAGAGGGTGCCTGTAGTTGCCAGGGTAACCCGGTACGGGGCTGTTGCGTGCGTGCAGTCTTTCTGTGGGGTTGCTACTGTTGGGGGGTGAATGTGAGGGAGGGTTGCAACCTGAGGCAGTCACCCCGACGGAATGTTTCTCCTGCCAAACCTTTCTGGCTACTGATCTTATAAATAATTCCACATAATACCGATACAGCTTCTGTGCTTCGACATACTGAGCTTTTGTTTTGTTCACTGCACTGTGGTAACTATGCATGCCTTACCGTTCAATAACTCGTCATCTCGTCCACGTGCTGTAGTTACTAGTTTTATTTGATTCTCAGAAGTTGCAGCTCCAGACCGTTTTTCTCAGCATCATTAACGGAAGAAATCTTCCACTGAAGATGCGAACCGGATGTCTAATTAATTGGTTGGTCTAAACGTGTAACTAGATTGAGAGAAAGAGGTTTCGGAAACACGTCTAATTCATCATGGTCTTCTGTCCATAAATGATAGGAACTGTTTACGAAAGCGATTTAGATTAAATTCGGGTATCATAAACCTACATTACGCTTTGTTGAACCCTTTTTCTTTCTATTTTAGTTTAATTTGAACTGCTATTTCACAAACGAAACTTTATATTTTATATTTTGGTGGAACCTGATGTTTGGCATATATGATCACGTGTTGAATTTCAGCTAATTCATTTCGTTTCAACACCAACTTACTTTAAGGACGTAAATAAGTTTCTGGGTGCAGCTAGATAAATATTCAACTGACAAGTTGCATAACGAGGATTTTCAGAATTTTCTCTGTTCACGAAATATTATTAGGATGATTAAATCAAGGACGACGAGATGG